CCAACCGAACGGCGGCGGGAAGCGCGGGCCGAGAGGGAGGCGGCGGTGCCGGCACGGCAGCTGCGGTGCTGGGCAGCTGGAAACGGCTACGGGGCATGGGCCGAGCTGAGGCCATGGCTGCCTACTTGGCTCTGGCGGCGCAGTGTCCGGGTTTTGGCGCTGCTCGGTATGACGTTCTGGAGCTGAGCACGGTGAGGGGGAGAAGGGAGAAGGGAACTCTGGTGGCCCAAGCCCTACACCTTTGCCCCAGAGCCACAGGGCCCCAGCGGGGGTCACTTCATTCCCTACATCGAACACACCTGCCCATTCCAAATGCCCGGAGTCACCAGCCCTGGAGTCTGCACATCCCCAGGAGTCTTAGCCCGTTCCATGGCACGAGCTGTGAATCACGGGGGCGTCAGGAAGTTCCCTGCTCATTATGATCTCCCTCTACCAAAAAGTAATGCTGCAGGATCCCCTCTTTCACCCCTGACTCTGCCGATCTGTCTGCAGGAGCCTGGTGGAGGTACTCCACAGAAGCTATGCCTGGGCCTGGGAGCCAAGACCATGTCCCTCTCCCGGCCTGGGGAGACAGAACCCATCCACAGCGTCAGTTATGGCCACGTGGCCGCCTGCCAGCTAATAGGCCCCCACACTCTGGCATTGCGGGTGGGTGAGAGCCAGCTCCTCCTGCAGAGTCCCCAGGTGAGTGGAAAGAGGCTGTGGAAGGAGGAAGGAAGTCAAGAAACGTTTACTAAACATCTGCTCTGCCTACACAGCTATAGGCACTGGGCTTCCAGCAGCAATCAAAGACAAGCTCCAGAGCTTATGTTTCAGTAGGAGGGAATTAGACGATAAGGAATCAAAGACTAAGATAGAGATAAATGCTACCAAGGAAAGTAATGTAGCAAGAAGTGACTGAAGGATTTTCAGGGAGGTTTAATTCTGTGTGTGCTGGTACTGGGGCTTGAACTCAGGGTCTGGGAACTGTCCTTTACATTTTTGCTCAAGGGTGATGTACTACTACTTGAACCACAGCTCCACGTCCAGCTTTTTAGAGGCTAATTGGAGCTAAGGGTCTCAAGGACTTTTCCTGCCCAACCTAGCTTTGAGCCATGATTCTCAGTCTCCTGAAAAGCATGAGCCACCAACAGCTGAATTTCTCTCCCCCTCCCCTCTTACTTTTTTTTGGGGTGGGAGCGGTACAGTTGTGGGGCCTGAACTCTGGGCCTGGGCACTGTCCCTCAGCTCTTCAGCTCAAGGCTAGGGCTCTACCACTTGAGCCACAGCACCACTTCCAGCTTTTTCTGCTTATGTGGTGCTGAGGAATCGAACCCAGGGCCTCATGCATGCAAGGCTCTACTACTGAGCCACCTTCCCAGCCCCATCTTTCTTTCTTTTTTCTTCCTTTCTTTCTTTCTTCCTTCCTTCCTTCTTTCCTTCCTTCTTTTCTTTTCTCTTTTTTTCTTTTTTGTCGGTTAGGGGGCTTGAACTCTGGGCCTGGGTGCTGTCCCTCAGCTCTTCAGCTCAAGACTAGCACTTGACCACTTGAACCACAGCACCACTTCCGGCTTTCTGAGTGGTTTATTGGAGATAAGAGTCTCATGGACTTTCCTGCCAGAGGCTAGCTTTGAACTTCGATCCTCAGATTTCAGCCTCCTGAGTAGTTAGGATTACAGGGATGAGCCACCAGGGCCCGGCTTCTCTCTCTCTCTCTCTTTGTCTCTCTGTCTCTCTCTCTGTCTCTCTGTCTCTCTTTGTCTCTCTGTTTCTGTCTCCGTCTCTCTCTCTCTCTTTCTCTCTTTTAACAAGGTCTTGCTATGTATCCCAGGCTAGCCTTCAACTCTAGATCCACCTGCCTCCATCTGAGTGCTAGGAGTGTGTGCCACCATGCCTGTCTATAGAGGGTAACACTTAAGCTAGCCATGGGAAGATGAGGGAACAGTATTCCAGGTAAAGGAAATTGCAAGTACAAAGGCTCAGAGAAGAACAAGGTTGGCATGTTAGGGGAGCAATAGAAATTAAGATTACTGGCACACAATGCATGAAGGAGAGTGGGGATAAGGAAAGGAAGTTGTCAGGACCAGAGCATGCAGAGCAGTGGTAGAAAAGCTGGAGCCCTAGGGCCTGAAGGAGAAGAAAAAGAAGAGAACCTAGTGGCCTCTGTTCCACACTGACCCTTGCCCTCTCTTAGGTGGAAGAAATCATGCATCTGGTGAATGCCTATTTGGCCAACCCTTACCCAGAGAAGCCCTGCAGCATCTCTGCTCCTCCATGCCAAGACCTGCCAGACACCTCCCCTCCCAGTCAGCACCAAGGCCTGGACAAGTCCCAGGGACAGTCTGGCTGCTTGGGGCAGCTGCAGGACTGAGCTTGCCAAAAAGGTCACGACTTCTCCTGCCTGCAGCCTGGGCCAGGACTGCTCTCAGACTTGAGGAAACCATGGACCCTTTCGGCCCTGCAGGGACAGGGCACGCCTACACCCAAGAGCTGCAATGGGTGTGGACAATTTTCTAGTTTGTTTCTTAATTTATTTGTAGAAGAGAAAAGCAAAAAAATCCTTATTTACACAAACCTTTCCTGTGGAAGAGTAGTCAGTGGGACAAGTTGGAGCTCCCTTGCTCAGGGCCCCGCCCCTGAGGACGCCTACACTCTGGGTTTGCACCAGGCCTTGAAGAGATTCTGGACACCACAGAATGCCACCCTCTTTAACCTTCTGTATTTAACCTCCTCCTTGCCATATACTGCTATAAGATGGTGGGTGGGGCAGGCAAGTAGGCTGTATGGGAAGCTGGCAGTTACTCACCCTCTGGTCCCTGTTCAGTGGCATGGGGGTGGCCTCCTGACATCAATGAGCCTGGACAGCAGTGAGTCATTAGGCGTGGCACTGCCCATTTCTTCCTCTGGTGTCCAGCTTCTGGGCCCTGTTCGGGTCCATCTTTGGTTGCCTACTACTTAGAGACTGAAATGAACAGAAGCTTGGGGGCAAAGAGCAGCCATAAGAACTTTTTTTGGGGGGGGGCATGGAAAATTAGCTCAGGTGAGGGCACAATCTATTCCTGAGCTCTGTTTCTGCTTGTCAGGGTTGGTTGAACAAGCTTGAAATTCCTGACTGATAGGCCCTGAGCACTGGGAATCTAGAATTCTAGTTTTTCAGATTTGGGCAGAATTTAGTGGCTCTGAATACTAAGATACCATGTCTCTGCCCTAAGTAGAGTAGGCTAGGGCAGCTAGGCCCACTGAGGGGCAAGGGCTTAAGCACTGAACAGACAGCAGACATCACAAACCCAATATACAAGATTTATTTATTTTTAATTAATTTATTTGTGTGTATGCACTAGTACTGGGGCTTAAATTCAGAACCTGAGCATTGTCCCTGAGCTCTTTCACTCAAGGCTGGCAATCTGCCCCTCAAGCCACACCTCTACTTCCAGCTTTTTGGTGGTTAATTGGAGATAAGAATCTTCTGGCTTTATCTCCCCTGATTGGCTTTGAACTGGGATCCTCAGATCTCAGCCTCCTGAGTAGCTAGGATTGCAGGTATGAGCGACCTGTTGGTAATTCCTCTATGCCCTTGAAAGAAGAGCTAACCCTACTAAAAGAACCTACTTCAAAGAAAGAGATGACAGTGATAAGTAATTAGTGAGTGACACACTAATACTTGGGACTAAGGGGTAAGAAGTGGAACAGGTAAAGGCTACCTTACCATCACATGCCCGGAAACCTCCCACTCACAGATCAAGCCTTCCAGATATTTACTACTCAGCTTTATTACTTTATTAGAACTGAATGAGTAGCATATCAAGAGTCAGGAATAGAAGGGAGGAAGTAGAGGATAGCTCCTGGGATGAAGATGAAACTAGAATGTGGATGTTGGATTATAGCATCTGGGCATAACAGGGGCTGTTCCTGTCCTATGAAGAGAGAAATCCCTGCTCCTAGGAGGTCAAAGAATGATATATACAGTGTTTGATTTCATGATACTCTTGAAAGAAAAGAGGTGGTGTCTTCAGAGTCGAGGGTGCTGGGCATGGGCTAGGCCCTGCCAGTGATGGAAAAAGAATAGACATCTTCCCCAGCTCCTGAATTTCCAAAGATAACAATGACTTGATTTGGATCCAGTCCTTTAGTAACATAAATACTCTTGTAAGAGGTGAAGGAAAGGGTCCTCAGGCCAACAGAGGGTACTGTGGGTTGGGGGGTGGGGGGAGAGATCTGTGAGGTCGATGATCTGTGCTCTGAGGGGTGGTCCATCAGGCCAAGCCTGGGCAACCAGTAAGGCAGATGAGGGTTCCCATCCTGCGGAACTCACTGCTCCTGGGTACCCCAGGAGATGTAGTCTGGCCTAGTGGCTGCATGGTACTCATCGATCAGCTGCTGTACAATCTCTCTGGATGTGTCCATCTCATCAAAATTGTCCTTGAAGATGTCTTCCTTGCGGAACTGCTCCATGAAGGCCTCCCGTTTCCGCAGCTTGTCAAACTGGCGACAGGTGCGCTCAAAGAGCTTGGGGCATGCAGAAAGCAGGAGTCACAAAGAAACCCAGCAGCACTATGGCCCCAGGTCTGAGCTATCCCCACAGCAAGGTACCAGAAGCAGAGGCAATGGGGATGCAGAGGGCAAGACACAGTCAGGAAACTGACTTAGAGAAAAGGTGCAAACTGAGACTCACCGAAGAGATACTGGTGTGGTTGGCCATCATGAGCCCACTGACCCGGTGGGCTGAGGGCAGGTAGGGAGACTTCCTTGACAGTGCTACCTGGATGCTGGCTGGGCCCCAGGGGATGAAGTTGGCCAATTTCCGCTCCCGGATCCTCTGCAGGCTCTTGTGGACCTAGGGTGGGCACAGAGCGCTGGTGGCTGCCCCTGCTCTATGCTGTGGTCCAGGGCACAGGATAGAGGGGCCTCATCTACCTGGGTGGGGTCCACCTCTCCCTGGATGATGTTGAGGATGGCGATGTAGCAGTGGTTGGTCTGGCGGTCCCGGCCTGTGGACACCATTACATTCTTGGGCTGTAGCAGCCTCCTCATGACATCCAGGACTGTGGTCTTCCTCACACTGGCCACCTGATGGGAGAAGGGGCCACAGGCCAGAACTCAGGGGGTAATCCACAGAGATGCATTGGGAGAGGAGAGTAGATAGTTCTTGTCACCATCAGACTTGTAGGCTGCTCTCTCCAGGGATATCACTAGCTCAGGCCCCTGAGTTTCTGCTGTAGGAAGGACTAGGGTATCAGCCCTTCTCAGCTCAGTAAACTTGAGCCCTTGTGCAGGAGCAGAAGCTGACCCTCCTCAAGCTCAGCCCCAGCAGGAGCCAAGGACAGAGACAAAGCAGCAAGCGAGGCACACTATATACAGGTCTGAGCATGAGGACCTTTGGGGGGGCTACAAAGGCCTCTTAAGGCAGTGGGGAGAAAGGCAGGGTCAGGACTTGCTGGATGTGGCAATCAAGTTCAGGGTCGGATTATACAGCACCACCTGTGAGACAGAATGGGTGGTGACCCTTTTTGAGAAGAAATCGGATATAGTTTAGCTTCTGCTAAACTCCAACATCAGGAAGTAGTTTGCCACTTTAAAAAGAAAGTACCATCTCTGGGGCATCATGAGAAACTTTGGACCATGTAAGTCAGTAAACAAATACATGAATGCCCTCAGTGCCACACAGTGTCTAGCTCTGGAGAGACCACAGATAGAAAAATAGGCAGGATGTTTGCCCCCACCCCCGTTAGGCCTACAGTCTCGTAGAGAATGACAGGTATTTAAAACATAGGCTGAGGGTGTAGCTCCATGGTAGAGCACAGGGTTAGCATATATAAAATCCAAAACTCCAAAAATAAAACCATCAAGGCCTATCACCCCAACTGAGCCAGGAAGATCGTAAGTTCAAGGCTAGCCTGGGCAATTGAGTAAGCCTCTATTGCCAAAGAAATTATATAAATTGAAATAACACAGTTTAGATAACAGCCTGAAAAATATGCACAGAGGAATCTGATATTGACTTGGGTAGTCAGGAAAGTTATGCTAAGGAGGTGACCTTAGAGCAGAAGGTTCAAGTGTAATAGGCCCTGAGCAGGTCAAGTGAGGGTACATGGTGAGAGAAGGGTAGATCACTTTGTTGAGAGTTTTGCTGCCTTAGAGGACTGGAAGCAAGTTAGAAGTTGGGACCTTATTTCATAATTTGGCTTTGTTGTTGTGGGCCAGGGCTTGGGAAGAACACAGTAGAAGTGACTAGCTTTGGGAGCAGGGCAAAGCCCCTGATTCCATTTTCCCCTTCTCATAATGCAATCTGCACTTTGGGTCAGTAAAGAGTGAGTTGTAGCCAGGCACTGGTGCTCACACTATAATCCTAGCTACTCAGGTGGCTGAGATCTGAGGGTCGAGGTTCAAAGCTAGCTCAAGCAGGAAAATCCATGAGACTCTTATCTCCAATAAACCACTAGAAAACTGGAAGTGTCACTGTGGCTCAACGTAGTAGAGCACTAGCATTGAGCTGAAGAGCTGAGGGGCCCAGGCCCAGAGTTCAAGCCCTGTGACCCACAAGAAAAGGAAAGAAAGAAAGAAAAAAAAAAGAGTGAGTTGTAGGGCTGAACCACCAGGTTGCTCATCTCATGATAGTTGGGAAACACTGATTGTGTCTGGAGCAGCTACTTGGGGCACTTGAGGGGGAAGAAAAAGAGAGTGTGGAAAGTGAATTGGCAGAACCTTCATGACTACCAATGGCCATCTTTTCTAGGGACAATAGGGACCGTTCCTTTCTAAGTCCTTTTCTAGTAAGAGGAGATCTGGATTTTCAGAGCCAAAAATGATAATTCACAAGCATCAAACTCTCTCTCTCTTTTTATGCCAATTGTGGAGCCTGAACTCTGGGCCTGGGCACTGACCCCCAGCTCTTCAGCTGTAGACCAGTGCTCTACCACTTGAGCTTCAGCCCCACTTCCGGCTTTTTCTGCTTATGAGGTACTGAGGAAGCGAACCTAGGGCCTCATGCATGCAAGGCAAGTGCTCTACCACTGAGCCACCTTCCCAGCCCCCCCCTCTATCTATCTATCTATCTATCTATCTATCTATCTATCTATCTATCTATCTATCTATCTATCTATCTGTCTATCTATCTATCTACTTCCCTCTCTCTGTAACCTTAGCCCCCCTCCACCCTGTTATTTCTTCTAAAGTCTGTCCCTATGAGTCCTTCTGGAAGGCCTTCCAACTTAAGAGGAAAAAGTAATAACAGAGGAAGTAGAGGTGTGGTTCACCTGGTAAATTACCAGCTTTGAGTGGATAAAGTCAATCGAGAGTGCTAGGTCTTGAGTTCAAGCCCTAGTACTGGCACACACAAAAAATGACAACATAAAAGGAGTATTATAGCTGGGAGTGGTGGCTCACACCTGTAATCCTAGCTACTCAGGAGAGTGAGATCTGAGGATCACAGTTCAAAGCCAGCCTGGGCAGGAAAGGCCGTGAGACTCTTATTTCCAATAAACCACTCAAAAAACCTGCCATGGTGATGTGGTTCAAGTGGTAGAGCACTAGCCTTGAGCTGAAGAGCTCAGGGACAGCACCCAGGCCCAGAGTTCAAGCCCATGACCACCACCACCAACAATAACAGAAAAAGAAGGAACATTATTACCCAGGGAACCTGGACTAATGCTTCCTCTTCAAACACTGGCTTACCCATTATTCAGTAATTCCAAGAGATAGGAGTCCAGACCATAACCTGTGCTTCTGGCAATGGAGTAACACAATATGAAGTCCTGAGTAGAGAGAGATGGAGACTCAGTGACTAGAGATACTTGAGAGAGAATTCTATCTCAAGGCTTCCTCTGTGTCCATCCTGGCCCTAACCTCCTTGGGAAGATTCAGAACTCTTAGCAGAAGCTGAATGAGTCATGCCTAAAGTGCTGATGCTGCCTAGATTATGATTTCCTTGAGATCAAGGGTTATATCTTTATTTACCTTGCTATCCTACATCTGATGCCCCAAACAAGTTTTACTGTGTGTGTGTGTGTGTGTGTGTGTGTGTGTGTGTGTGTGCACGTGTGTGTATGCGCAGGCGAGGGAGTGTGTTAGTACTAGGGCTTGAATTCAGAGCCTGGACACTGTCCCTTAGCTGGTGCTCTACCATTTGAGCCACAGCTCCACTTCCCCAAAAAAGGGTTTGGACCAAATTGTTCCCATTCCTTCACCAGTGTAGGCCATCACTGGATCATTCTCCCACACTCTTCAATGGGGGAGAACTTCAGCTGTAGACTGTTACTTCCCTCTATTTCTTGATGTCAAAGTTGTCTTCATGAAATTTCTCACCTTGTATACAGGTGAAGGTCAGAATAAAAGTTTTCTTTTCACCCACCAAGAACTCTTTCTCTGGGAGATGTATGCCACTCTGAAGCAGTCTAATGTCTTCAACCCAAAAATGCTACTTTGTGGCTCATACCCATAATCCTAGCTGCTCAGCAGGCTGAGATTTGAGGACTGCAATTCAAAACCAACCCAGATAGACAATCTCAGAGACTTTTAATTAATCAGCAAAAAGACAGCAATAGATGTACACCTCAATAGCACACACACACACACACACACACACATGTGCCCACACATGCGTGCATGCACAAAGCTATTTTGTGAATCACTTATACAAAATTTGCTACAATAGCCAGGTGCTGGTGGCTCACGCCTGTAATCTTAGACATTTAGGACGCTGAGATCTGAGGATCACAGCTCAAAGCCAGCCTGGGCAAGAAAGACTGAGACTCTTATCTCACTAAACCACCAGAAAACCAGAAGTGGTGTGGTGGCCCAAGTGGTAGAGTGCTAGCCTTGCGCTGAAGAGCTGAGGGACAGCGGCCAGGCCCAGAGTTCAAGCCCCATGACCAAAAAAAGAAAAAAAGCTATAAGCCTCTCTTTGGCTGTCCCTCTGGTCCTCTTGTTAGAGTACCCACTTGTCTCTTATCTATCATCATCAGTCTGGTCCGGTCAAATTCCCAGATTGCTTTTTTTTTTCTGCCAGTCATGGGGCTTGAACTCAGGGCCTGGGCTCTGTCCCTGAGCTTTTTAGAACAAGGCTAGCACTCTACTGCTGTGAGCCATAGCGCACTTCTGGTTTTCTGATGGGTAACTGGAGATGAGTCTCATGGACTTTCCTGCTTGGGTTGGCTTTGAACTTCTATCCTCAGATCTCAGCCTCCTGAGTAGCTAGGATTACAGGCATGAGCTACCAGCACCCAGCCCCAGATTGTTTTTGAGCCTGCTTTGTAGCAGGGTACAACTGTAAAGGAACTGTAGGGTATGCACTGGCCCACCCACTTGTTGCCAGCTTTCCATGCTTGGCAGGTGGATGTTCTCTGGGTTGTAGAGCTTGACATAAGAGAAATTGTGGATGGAGTGGATCACTGGAGGCTCCAGGCCTAGCAGCACAGCAGAGGGTACGTAATATTCACATCTGCCTGAAAAGGGAAGGTAGGGTGGGCCAACGCTTATATTTCTTGTTCTTTCTTCTCTTCCTCCTCCTCCTCTTCTTCCTCCTCCTCCTCCTTTTGCAGTATTGAGAGTGAAACCTAGGGCCTTGCACATGCTAGGAAAGCACTTCCTCAAACCTCTCCCAACTCTGCATCCTGCCAACCCTCCCTTCCTCGTCAAGCCAGGCATCCTGGTAACCTCTGTTCTGCAGATGGCCTTGTACCAGGCCAGCCCTGGCCTAGACATTGAGCAGCGTCAGGTAGAAAAAGACATCCTATGGTCAGTGCCCTCGGAGCTGAGGCTGATACTGTGCTCTGAGCCCATGAACTCAACTGGAGAGGAAGGGGGATGCCCAGGTCTGCTAGAGTAGTAAACAGCCTGAGTCTCAAGAAGGTGGAACCAAGACACCTGTACCTGGGAGCTGTCATAGCCCAGGACTCTTGGTTTGAGTCGTCATGCTGAGTAGACAGGGCAGGGGTTCATGTAAGGGGAAAAAGGGACTCAGCAAGTGCCAAGACACTTGAGTGCGGCTGGAAAAGTAGAACGAGAGATTGGCATGCTCATTCTGGTTACCACATTGGCCCAGCTGCAAAATGGTGATTCCGCAGCACGGCATCTCTATTCAGTTACAGCCCTGGTTGGTCGAAGT